TCCTCCCTCGACTGCGCCACCGTGCACGCCTTGCGTCGAGGGTCGGCTCCGCCGTGCTCCTCACTCCTCCTCGCTGCGTCCTGCTACTGCCCCCCTTCAGACCCTGCACTTGGACGTTTGGGGCCCTGCCCCCGTCCCCGGACCGCGCGGTGAGCGCTACTTCCTTGTGCTCGTTGACGACTACACGCGCTACACCACGGTGTTTCCCCTGGAGCGGAAGGCCGACGTGCCCGACGTTCTTCTCCCGTGGGTTGTAGCTGCGCGTCTCCACCGCGGTCTCCCCGTGTTGTGTCTCCACTCCGACCGTGGCGGCGAGTTCGCCTCTGGTCGGCTTGGACAGTTCTGTCGTGCGGAGGGCATCACCCAGTCGTACACGTTGCCGGACTCGCCACAGCAGAATGGGGTTGCTGAGCGCCGCATCGGTTTGGTCATGGAGGTCGCCCGTACCTCCATGATCCATGCCGATGCCCCCCATTTTCTGTGGCCGTTCGCTGTTCGCTACGCGGCTCACCAGCTTAACCTGTGGCCACGCTCCCAGCGGCCGCAGGTTTCGCCGACCCTCCTTTGGACCGGGTCCCCCGGTGACGCGTCTGCGTTCCACGTCTGGGGCTGCCTTGCTCACGTTCGTGCCTCTGGCACGGACAAGCTCACTGCCCGCACTGTCCCCTGTGTCTTCCTCGGTTTCCCCCTGGACTCGTCTGACTGGCTTTTCTACCACCCGCCGTCTCACCGCTTCCTCCACTCTCGTGACGTCACCTTTGACGAGTCCGTCTCCTTCTACCGCCGCTTCCCTCACCGAGGTCTCCCAGTTGCCCCCCCCCTTTTCCTTGCTCCCTCTCCCCCGGTAGCCCCTGCCCCTCTCCCGCCTCGTCCTGCCCCGTCTGGTGTCTCCCACATCACTCCCCTCCCGTCGGTTGTCCCCGTTGAGGAGTCTGCTGACTCTGGTGGTACCCCCGGTCCGTCCTTGCCGCGTCCCCCTTCCCCAGTGCCTCCGCCCCCACTGTCGCAGTCGCCGACCCCGCTGCCGCCGCCGTCGCCGTCGCCGCCGCAGCCGTCGCCGCTGTCGCCGCCACTGCCGCCGCTGCTCTCGGCCCCTGGGGGTGCTGGTGTGGAGGAGGGTGTTCGTCCTGCGGCTTCTGGGGGTGCCGCTGGTGTTGGAGGGGGTTCTCGCTCTTGGGGTGTTGGTTCTGGGGTGCTGCTGTTGAGTGTTCTGCCGACGGTCGTTCTGCCTCTGCTGGTCCGAGAGTTCCGGCCCAGCCGTCGTCGCCGCCACAGCAGCCGTCGCCGCCGGTTTCCGCTCTCCGCCTGCTCGGCCTTCCCTCCCCGGACCGCGCGCCGGTGTCTCCCCCACCGCCTCCTGACCTCCCTGTCTACGGTCCTGTGTTCCCGCCGCCAGACTCGTCTCCGGCCCGTCTTCCTCCTCGTTCCCCTCCTGTGTCTCCTCCGCTGTCCCCTGACCCTACCCCTCCGTCTCACGTTTGGGCTCGCCGTCCCTCCCGTGCTCGTCCCGTCTCTCCTGTCCTGCCCACCCACCCTATGTTGCTCCGTTCCCACTCGTCTCGTCCTCCCCTCCTCCCGTCCCCTCCTCCCTCGTCCCTTGCTGTTGCACCTCCTCCGTTCTCTGACTACCTCCGTGCTGCTCGTCCCCTTGTCCCTCGGGTCCTTGCCTCTCTTGTTACCGACCCTGCTGTTCCTGTCTCGCGCCTTGACGCGCTTGTCGCTGCTGTCGCTGACTTCGCTTCTACCCGCCGCCTTGACTACGCTGCCGCTCTGGTCTCTAACCCTGCCCGTCCTCTGTCCGTCGGGGGTGCTCCTGCCCTTGGCAGTGACGTCCTAGAGGACAGGCAGTACGAGCTGGCTTTCCTTTCCGAGGCTGCTCCCCATCTCTGCTCCATGCTGTTAGTCCCTGAGGGTGACCCAGACGCCTTCGACATCCCGACCCCTCGCACCTACGCTGAGGCCACCTCGGGACCTTGGGCCTCTCAGTGGATAGCTGCCATGGAGCAGGAGATGGCATCTTGGAGATCCACCGGCACTTACGTCGACGCAGTTCCCCCGCCTGGGGTGAACGTAGTCGATGGTCGGTGGCTCTTCAAGGTGAAGCGCCCCCCTGGAGAGCCGCCTGTCTTCAAGGCGCGCTACGTGGCCAGAGGTTTCAGTCAGCGCGAGGGGGTTGACTTCTTCCAGACCTTCGCCCCGACCCCGAAGATGACCACTCTTCGGGCGCTGCTACACGTAGCAGCACAGCGTGACTACGAGCTTCACTCTCTCGACTTCTCTACTGCCTTTCTTCAGGGCAGCCTACACGAGCAGGTCTACCTGCGCCGACCACAGGGCTTCACTGGTACCTTCCCTCCTGGGACCCAGTGGCTTCTCAGGCGCCCGGTCTACGGCCTGCGTCAGGCTCCCCGCGAGTGGCACGACACGCTACGTGCCACGTTAGCAGACCTGCAGTTCTTTCCGTCCTCTGCTGACCCTTCACTGTTTGTGCGTTCCGGCCAGACTCCGTTCTACATCCTTGTCTACGTAGACGACCTGGTCTTCGCTACTCCTGACAGGGACGCACTGGCCTCTGTGAAGGCTGAGCTGCTGAAGAGACACACCTGCACTGACCTTGGAGAGCTGCGTCGCTATCTTGGCCTGCAGATCTCTAGGGACAGAGCAGCACGCACCATCACTCTGACCCAGTCACACTTGGTGCGTCAGGTCCTTCAGAGGTTCGGTCTTCAGTTCTCCTCCGCACAGCCCACACCTCTACCCGTAGACCATGGGCTCTCTGCTCCCGTTCCTGAGGAGCCAGTAGAGCCCAGTGGCCCCTACGCAGAGCTGGTGGGTTGCCTCATGTACCTGATGACTTGCACTCGCCCAGATCTCGCATACCCTCTCAGCATCCTGGCTCGCTTTGTGGCTACAGGCAGACACCGACCTCAGCACTGGTCTGCCGCTAAGAGGGTTTTGCGTTATCTTGCTAGTACATCAGGCATGGGGTTAGTGCTAGGAGGACGCAGGCCAGTGGTCCTTACTGGGCACACAGACGCTTCTTGGGCAGACGACGCTGAGACGCTCAGGTCGTCGCAGGGCTACTGTTTCAGCCTTGGTTCGGGTGCTATCTCTTGGAGATCCACTCGCTCGTCGTCTGTGGCTCAGTCTAGCTGTGAGGCTGAGATCTACGCTGGTGCCATGGCGGCACAGGAGCTCCGCTGGCTGACCTTCTTGCTCACAGACTTAGGTGAGCGGCCTAGCTCTGCCCCGGTCCTGTACGCTGACAACAGGGCCATGATACTCCTGTGTCAGGAGCCTCGGCTTGAGGGCAGAGCGAAGCATATCCAGCTGCGGTACTTCCTCCTGCGCGAGCTACAGCAGCGCCGCCAGGCCCGCGTAGTTCACTTGGCCTCAGGTGCCAACACAGCTGATATCTTTACTAAGGCGCTTGCGCCTAAAGATCATCAGCGGCACTGTGTACAGCTTGGTCTTGTTCCTATAGCTGCTCCCCTGTTAGGATCCTGATTGTGTACTCTCTATTATATATGCTTGTCAGACTGGCCTTGTGGCCTTACCTCCAGTGGCTGGACTAGTAGTGCCACCCTGGCTTGCTTCAGTTTTGGTTGTATTCTTGCTGACTGGTCTCCAGACCCCTGCCTCAGTGGTTGGACTAGTAGTGCCGCCCTGAGCTGTTTGCTTCTTGTTTAGTTTCACCCCTTGTCTAGCCTAGGGGGTGTGTCAACTTATACATATTATCTATGTAGAAGTTATAGGCTAGACTGAGGTATGCTTCTAGTGAGTACAACCAACTAGTATTTGTTCTAGGTTTCCACCTCTAGTAATCATTCGTTTCTACGTTAACACCGTATACCTGCGATGGCGGTGCGTAAAGTGAGGGTTGCTTGCTCGTGCGTGACACGTCACGTTATGTGCGAGGCCCTGGAATTGTAGGCAGATACAGTTTGCAGGCCCTGGTCAATCTCCCCAACCTCGCGGTACAATTTCTATGCAAAACGGTTCAATGCGGTTCCGCGTGGTCTGATTCGGGGTCGTGACTGTCAAGGTTCAGGCTCTGTTTTCAAACTTCATAGGCGCGCCTTTTTGAGACAGGCGCGCATCCATACAGTACGATTTTGACGCGAGCAGATTCGAAGCAGCTGAGAATAGTGATACTGAAACAATTTCTGCTTGACAAGGAACCTTCGAACGTGCTCATAGGCGGGTCCAAGTCTGGGAAGAAGAAGTTCGGAGGAACAGGCTCTCCGCAGGAAATAAGGAAACAGAAAAATTGAAGTCTAAATTGCAGGTGGAGAAGTTTCTTGCGGCTAAGTTTTCGTCTGAATGTTCAGACTCGCGGGAAAAATTCGTCTGAAATCTCAGACTCCTTGAAATTTTTCGTCTGATGGTCAGACGAAACTTTGGAACCCCGTCTGATTTTCAGACAGCCCTAAATCCTAGCTGAAACCCTGCTCCGGTGCCAACACAGCTGATATCTTTACTAAGGCGCTTGCGCCTAAAGATCATCAGCGGCACTGTGTACAGCTTGGTCGTGTTCATGTAGCTTCTCATTTGCTAGGGCCATGATTGTGTACTCTCTACTATATATACCTGTGTGACTGGCCTTGTGGCCTTACCTCCAGTGGCTGGACTAGTAGTGCCGCCCTGGCTTGCTTTTGTCTTGTTTGTACTCTTGCTGACTGGTCTCCGGACCCCTGCCTCAGTGGTTGGACTAGTAGTGCCACCCTGAGTTGTGTGCTTCTTGCTTAGCACCACCCCTTATCTAGCCTAGGGGGTGTGTCAACTTATACATATGTTCTATGTATAAGTTTTAGGCTAGACTAGGTGTGTGCTTCTAGTGAGTACAACCCAACAGGTATATGTTCTAGGTTTCTCCTAGTAATCATTCACGTACCGGTATTCTAACACACAGAACACCAGTTTATAATCAGCGTAAAAAATAATGGTAAGTTGGTAACTCTGAAGAATCAGACAAAAAAACTCGTTACTCTGAGTTTTCTGACTTTTTTAAAGGGGCAACTCTGATGGCCATACCAAGGGATGACAAGCAAGTCTGATGAATCAGACACCCTCAAAACCAATTTGGGGGCCTGATGTACATATATTTGTATATGTTTATAGGCTAGCTAGGTGCATGCCCATAGAGAGTACAACACCTAGCTCAAAACTACACTGTACTGTCAATTCTAGTCTATTCCGCTACTCTGAGAGGTTCTCTGTTTGGGAGAGCATCCAGTATTTGTCAAACTGATTTCTGCTCCATGCATCCCCCGCCAGCCCTGCATGCATTGCATGCGCCAACGGCATCCGCTTGAGCCACGCGCTGCAGACAGTGGGAGATGCGCTGCTGCAACACTTGCTGGGGCATGGGGGATGTGGTGGAGGGAGGAGACGAGAGGGGGGGGGGAAGGGGACAGGGCAGAGGGGGGATGAGCAATAGGGAAGGGGAACGAGCAAGAGGGGAGGGGAGGAGAAAGAGCCAGGGGACGTGAAGAGAAAGAGCGAGAACGGGAGAAGGGGGGCAGGGAGGGAGGGGGGGGGGGAGTTGGGTCTCCAAAACCATGTGGGGCACTAGGAAATGTGAGGTTTATACATGGTGCTAAATGAGTAATAGATGCATGGTCCAATGTGGCACATGGTAAAATGTGGTGCATGGTCAAATGTGGTGCATGGTCAAATGTGGCACATGGTAAAATGTGGTGCATGGTCAAATGTGGTGCATGGTCAAATGTGGTGCATGGTCAAATGTGGTGCATGGTCAAATGTGGCACATGGTCAAATGTGGTGCATGGTCAAATGTGGCACATGGTAAAATGTGGTGCATGGTCAAATGTGGCACATGGTAAAATGTGGTGCATGGTCAAATGTGGTGCATGGTCAAGTGTGGTGCTTCCAGCAAGCAGTTAGTTGGAGGGTGGAAGAGTCGAGGATAGAAAACACCGATCAGAGGGGTGTGAAGATGGCAAGTGGGGTGCTGCACTCACAGCAACGAGGGGGTGCACCCCGATAGGAGCTGTGACTATAAAGGGCACTTGGCTGCCGTGCTGTGCTGCTGCCTCAGCTGCCAGTGCTGGGATGTCCTGGTGGGGGAAATGTGATGCAGCAGATGGTGGAAGGGGACAAGGGGGACAGTGGGAAGGGATGGAGAGAGTGTTGACCAAATGGCAGTAGCATGTGTGGAGGCATGGCAGTAGCATGTGTGGAGGCATGGGAGTAGCATGTGTGGAGGCATGGCAGTAGTAGCATGTGTGGAGGCATGGCAGTAGTAGCATGTGTGGAGGCATGGGAGTAGCATGAGAGGAGGCATGGGAGTAGCATGAGTGGAGGCATGGGAGTAGCATGAGTGGAGGCATGGGATTAGCATGAGTGGAGGCATGGGAGTAGCATGAGTGGAGGCATGGGAGTAGCATGAGTGGAGGCATGGGAGTAGCATGAGTGGAGGCATGGGAGTAGCATGAGTGGAGGCATGGGAGTAGCATGAGTGGAGGCATGGGAGTAGCATGAGTGGAGGCATGGGAGTAGCATGAGTGGAGGCATGGGAGTAGCATGAGTGGAGGCATGGGAGTAGCATGAGTAGAGGCATGGGAGTAGCATGAGTGGAGGCATGGGAGTAGCATGAGTGGAGGCATGGGAGTAGCATGAGTGGAGGCATGGGATTAGTATGTGCGGAGGCAAGCAATCGGTTGGTGGTGCGATCCATTGACACGTGCCCGGAACGTTCAAATGGACCGACTCACCCGTGCCTCGCGCACAGCAATGGCTTCCAACGTGCACCACACCTTGTCCCACCCCTCTTGCACCACTGCCAACCACTCCCCCCCACGCATTCTTAGGGCAAACCATTTCAATCAGCCACCACCCGAACTTTGCGAGCAACACGCACACCCCTTCACCCGCTCGCACCCCTTCACCCGCTCGCACCCCTTCACCCGCTCGCACCCCTTCACCCGCTCGCACCCCTTCACCCGCTCGCACCCCTTCACCCGCTCGCACCCCTTCACCCGCTCGCACCCCTTCACCCGCTCGCACCCCTTCACCCGCTCGCACCCCTTCACCCGCTCGCATCCCTTCACCCGCTCGCACCCCTTGGCAACAACACGCACCCGCTGCCAGTGGCGGCCGGGCGAGAGGAAGTAGGGGCACACAATGACGCCCCTCGCCCCCCGCCGCACACAGCGCGTGAAGGCTGCTGCGATGGACGGCTCCGCTATCTCCTGTTGGGGCCCGGGCGAGGGAAGGGGTGGTGAATGTGTGGGAGCGATGAGGAATATGCCGGGGGAAGAAGGGGACTGCGTCAGGGAGGCAGCAGAGCGCTTGGAGCGGATATCCATTGGAAAAAGGAAGGGGGGAGGGCAGAGTGGGATGGGAGCGGAAAAGGAAATCAGGGAGAATGGATGGTAAGCGCGTGCGGATTGGAATCGCATGGAGAAAGGAAAGCAGGGGGGGAGGTGTGGGGGGTAGTAGTAGAGGACTTAATTGAATGCTTGGGTATGTGATGGAATGAGTATGGAGCGAGTGTGATGCGGCAAATCAGGAATGGAGACAGCGAGGTGTGAGGAGGACGGTGAGCGAGAGGCGGCACGGGGGGAAGGGGAACAAGGGGCAGGGTGGGATGGACGGCACAATGGAGCATTTATGGAGGGAGACGTCAATGTGAGGAGGTGCGGTGTAGCCCTGCACATGCACGTAGAGAAACTCGAAAGAAGGTACCTCCAGGTGAAGGGCACTTGCAAACGTGGTGCCCCAGAGAGGCCTGTGAGAGAGGCGACTGACCATGTGGGCGGGCTCCACAATGGCGTACCCCGTCTCCTCTTGAAACACCTCCACAAACAGGTCTGAGGGGCGCACCCGTGCATGGCACATGGCGCAGAGCACAGCGTGGGGACGGGAAGAGGGAGGGCGAGGGAGGGGAGATGCATGAAGGGAGATGAAGCATGGGAGTTAACATGGAGTGTGGCAATACAAGTGGCTTCACTGTACACATGAGGGCAACGTTGCCATTGCTCCCTCCACCCTCCTCCCTCATAAATTCCCTCCCTCATCCTCCCTCCCTCCCTCTATCCATCCCTTCCTCCTCACTCCCTCTCTCCCGTTTTATGCCCTTCCCCCTCCCTCCCTCCCTCTCTCCCTTCCTCCTCACTCCCACCCAAGGTTCAAAATTACGGTTTTCGAAAAATACGGTCCGTAAATTACGACCGTTTTTTTCGGGCAGTTTGGGAAAAAAACGGCGTAATTTAAATAGAGCACATGGTTTTTTTTTTCGAAGGGGAATGGCTCCTTTGCGGTTTCAACGTCAACTGAATGCTTAGTAATGCACCATGGCACCTATAAACCTATGTTGGAAAATACGCGTACTGCGTTTTATACGCTAGCGTATATACGCTTGCGTATATACGCTATACGCTTGGATTTGGGGTCCAATACGGCAGGAATACGCATGCCCGGGCAGGAAAAAAGGTTTGCCCGGGCAGGGTAACAAAACCAGGGGGCAGCAAGGAAGCCATGATGGTAGCGGCTAGGCTAGGGTTTCTGAAAACGTGACTCTCAAATGAGAGGCATTTTCTGAGGGGTCGAATTTTGACCTGCCAATTCCCTCCCTTTCACCGCACTCAACCCCCCCGTCTACAAAGTCAAATTGGCTTCCACCCAACCAGCTCCCTCCCTTTCACCGCACTGAACTCCCACCCATCTACAAACTCCAACCTTTCCTCACAAATGCTCGACTCTCCCCCCCATCATCTCCCCCATCACTTTGGTAGAAGACTAACAAGCACCGTAACTCGCGCAATCGCCGCCACCTAGCTAAGCACACCACCGTTTCGCTTCAGAGCTGAGATTTGGACGGAAATGGGGAACGGCAAACACGGGATGGCTTTCAATCACGTACAGAGCAGGCTGGGCTATGGGCAAAAAAGAATGGGCGAAAAAACCGCGACGTCGCGAAGTCGCGGAAAAAAAAAATATAAGTTTTTTTTTTCGCCGGGCAGCCCGGGTATCGCGTATCGCGTATTCCAAGCGTATCAGCGTATTGCGTATATTCGCAAGCGTATATACGCAATACGCAAAGCCTTCTGTGCGTATATTCCAACATAGCTATAAACATGGAAATCTGGAGTTGCTAGGCGGTAGAGTAAACTGGCTTAGATTCCAGCCAGAAAAACGCTCCAAACTACGTCCTGTGGTAGCTTAGAAAACGTCCTCTGTATCTCACACACTTCGAAGTTGGGTTGAGAAAGGCTTTGAAGAGAACCAAAATCCATTGGGTTCTGTTTTTGAAACACTTCGTCAGGGTGGTTTCGCAAATTGCGCGAGACCACCCTACTCGGCGCGAAATAACCAACGGGTTTTGCGAAGGGGGGGGGGTCTTTCATAACGGCACATTAAATTTTTGGTAAAATGCGTGACTCGGGGTTCGGGGGTGAATTCGCGCTTCGGAAAACGTTGACTTATGAACATTTCGGGGTGCGCGTGTACCCCCATCCCCAAAATTCTGGTACGGAATTCGAGATTCTGAATGTACACTACTGATAAAAAAAAACGGCCGTTTTTTTTTAACCAACCCAAAAAAGGTGATTTCGAGCCGTAATATTCGTATTATACGGCCGTAAATTACGAAACCGTAAAATACGGGCTAAAAATATAAAAACGCCGTAATTTTGAACCCTGCTCCCACCCTCCCCTTTTACTCGTCTTCCATCCTCCACACCCCCTTCGGCCGTCCCCCCATGCCCCCCTCAGGCCTTTCACCCTCCCTCTTCCCGCCCCTGCCCCCACCTCCCTCCCTCCTGCCAGGAGAAGTGGCTTCACTGCACACATGAGACTTCAGTTACTACTGCTCCCTCACCCTCCAAACTCCCCCCCAAGTTTGTCTCTCCTCGCCCCCTTCCTCCACATTTACCCCCCTTCCTCCACATTTACCCCCCTTCCTCCACATTTACCCCCCTTCCTCCACATTTACCCCCCTTCCTCCACATTTACCCCCCTTCCTCCACATTTACCCCCCTTCCTCCCTCCCTCAAAGCCCCCTGCAACCCTCGTCCCATGCCGCCTCCGACCTTGAACCCTTGCCCTTCCCGTCCCTGCCCCCCACCGCCTTCTCCCTCCCTCCGCTCGGTCCCTCCCTCCCGCGTGCGCACCCAGTTGTCGGTTGGACTCTTCCCGCCGCGACCCATGGTCCACCACCACCACGCCCACCTCCTCCCGACCTAGCCGTGCCACCTCCGCCACGCCGCGCTCGTTCCGGGCCTCAAGCACAGCCTCGGCAGCATGGTTTGGTTTGGCGGGATCTCTCGGCTCGGCAGCATCAGTCCGGGGTGCGGAGTGGTGGTATGGGGTGGCCATGGCGGGTGGAGAGAGGCGCTGATGGTGGCGTGGAGGGATAGCCCCCGGCAATGGCTGTGGACAGATATAGGGGGGGGGGGGGGGAGGATGGGTGGAAAAATAAGAGCGGAGGCAGCATGGTGCGAGCACATCAAGGCGTCACATGCGCCACAAGCTGAGACGCAGCCCACGATGCAGCGCACTCAGCACGTGCGCTCCTCGCACCACCGGCGCCATGCGCCCAGCATGACAGCATCAGCACAGCGACGAGTGGAGGGAACTGCAAGGGGCTGGAGGGAATCGGCAGTTGTCGGTCATGAGAAGGAGAAGAAAAAAGAGGGGAATCCACGGGGATGGAGGGGATTTGGCGGGAATGTGGAGACTGGGGCAGTGTGACAGTGGGAGACACCCTTGCAGATTCACATCTGTGTATTACACCCGCCCATTTCCCCGCCCGTCATCCCCCGCCCGCCAATTCCTCCGCCCGTCACCCAACCCCCCATTCCCCCACCCGTCCGTCCGCCGCCCGCCCATTTCCCCACTCCCCAGCGTGCGCGCGGACAGCAGGTCGCTACGCGCGATGCAGGGATCGCAGGCGGGGGCTACAGGCCCGCCGTCGCCGCTGGCACCTGCCGCCCCACACGCCCCGCGGCTCCCACCTGGGGGACGCGCGACGGCGCGCGAGTGGCGCAGCCGCCTCTTCGATGCCCGGCTGTCGCTCGACGCCGCGCCGGCTGTCGCGGCTGGCAAGGCCCCCCAGACGGGAGTGCGCGGATGAGGCCGGTTGACGCGCTGGCAGGTGACGGCGCCGGCAAGCGTCCGTGAGACGCGGGCAAAGGCGCGCTGCGAGGGCGAACGGTAGGGCGAATGGCGAGGATAGGAGGCATGGCTTGGATCGAGAAACCCACAAGTGAAGTTTCACAGCAGTCTGGCGCATAGCTCTTGAAACTCACACTCGCTTGAAACTGCCTTCGGCGTCTGCTTTGCGCAACAGTCTCTGCTTTCGCGCTCTCGATAGTGTAGGCTTCTGCAAATTGGTTTGCAGTTTTCGTGCGCCAATCCATGTCCAATAACTTCAGGGTTACTACCCCAGTAAATTGGTTGACCAACGTATTTTACACTTGTGGATTGTTCTAATACACAGATGGTACTAAAACATATATCTCATTTGTTGATCTAAACACAACAGTAACAACCACACCATATGAATCATACCACTTCATACACACAGACGAATAGAACATAAAATTGCATGTTGAATATGCTCACGAACGCACAATCATATGTGTGTGTTCCTTTAAGGTTAGGGGTCTCAAAGTAAAGTGCTGAATAGAAACAAGGGATACAAGGGGAATATAAGGCGGGGTGTCGTACTCACTAAGAGCACGTGCCATTCGAGCCTATAACTTTTGCATATACAATATATGTATAATTTGACACACCTCCTAGGCTAGACAAAGAGCACTCCCTAGCGAAAGACAAGCAACTCAGAGTGGCACTACTAGTCCAACCTCCGAGGCAAGGGTCTGAAGACCACTCAGCAAGAGTACAAGCTAAACAAGAGTAACCCAAGGTAGCACTACTAGTCCAGCCACTGGAATAAGGGCCACAATGCCAGTCAGATAATATAAGAAGACACATTCAGGGTTCTAGCAAGTGAGAAGCTACATGAACTAGACCAAGCTGTACACAATGCCGCTGATGATCTTTAGGGGCAAGCAACTTAGTAAATTTATTAGCTGTGTTGGCACCGGAGGCCAAGTGTACTACGCGGGTCTGGTGGCGCTGCTGTAGCTCGCATAGGAGGAAGTACCGCAACTGGATGTGCTTCGCTCTGCCCTCCAGTCGAGGCTTCTAACATAGGAGGATCATGGCCCTGTTGTCAGCGTACACGACCGAGGCAGAGCTAGGCCGCACCTAGGTCTATAAGCAAGAAATTCAGCCAAGGGGGCTCCTGTGCCGCCATGGCACCAGCGTAGATCTCACCCTCACAACTAGACTGTGCAACAGACGACGAGCGGGTGGACCTCCACGAGATGACGCTTGCACCAAGGCTAAAGCAATAGCCGTGGGAGGACCTGAGCGTCTCAGCGTCGTCTGCCCACGAAGCGTCTGTGTGCCCTGTAAGGACAACTGGCCTGCGTCCTCCTAGCACTAGCCCCATGGCCGATGTACTTGCTAGATAACGCAAAACCCTCGTAGCAGTCGACCAGTGCTGTGGCCGGTGTCTGCCCGTGGCCACAAAGCGAGCCAGGATGCTGACAGGGTATGCGAGATCTGGACGAGTGCAAGTCATCAGGCACATGAGGCAACCCACCAGCCCTATGTACGGACCACTAGGCTCTACTGACTCCTCAGGGACTGGAGCCGAGAGCTTGTGATCTACTGGCAGAGGTATGGGCTGTGCAGAGGAGAACTGAAGACCGAACCTCTGAAGGGCATGGCGCATCAAGGGTGACTGTGTGAGAGTGATGGTGCCCGCTGCTCTGTCCCTGGAGATCTGCAGGCCAAGGTAGCGGCCCAGCTCTCCTAGGTTAGTGCAGATGTGACTCCTCAGCAGCTCAGCCTTCACAGAGGCCAGCACGTCTCTGTCTGCAGTAGCGAAGACCAGGTCGTCTACGTAGATAAGGATGTAGAACGGGGTCTGCCGAGGACGAGAAGAACTGCAGGTCAGCTAACGTAGCACGCAGCGTGTTGTGCCACTCGCGGGACGCCTGCCGCAGGCCGTAAACTGGGCGCAGGAGGAGCCACTGGGTCCCAGGGGCGACGGTGCCGGTAAATCCTGGTGGGTGGCGCAGGTAGACCTGCTCGTGCACTGCCCTAGAGAAACGTTGAAGAGAAGTCGAGGGAATGTAGCTCGTACTCATGCTGTGCTTCTACGTGTAGCAACACTCGAAGAGTAGTCATCTTTGAGGTCGGGGCGAAGGTCTGAAAGAAGTCAACAGCCTCGAGCTGACTGAAGCCTCTAGCAACGTAGTGCGCCTTGAGCACCGGCGGCTCTCCGGGACGGCGGCTGCTGTTGCGGCGGTGAAGGAGGGGACACCGGGGCGGAGACGGGCGGCGAAACAGAAGCCGCAGGGCCCCCGGAGTAAGCCGACTCCTGTACTGGGATAACCGACGGGAGGGGAGTGCCGTGAGACACACCAGACGGGGCAGGTTGGGGAGGAAGAGGAGCAGGGGCTACCGGGGGAGTGGGGACCAGGAATAGGGGTGGGGAAACCGGGAGACCTCGGTGGGGAAAGCGGGTATAGAAGGAGACAGACTCGTCAAAAGTGACATCGCGAGAGTGAAAGAAACGGTGAGACGACGGATGGTAAAATTGCCAGTCAGACGAGTCAAAGGGGGAAGCCAAGGATGATACAAGAGACTGTGCGGGCTGTGAGCTTGTCCGTGCCGAAGGCACGAACACGAGCGAGGCAGCCCCAGACGTGGAACGCTGACATGTCACCAGGGGATCCTGTCCAGAGAAGGGTCGGCAAAACACGCAGTCGCTTGGAGTGCGGCCACGGGTTAAGCTGGTGAGCGTCATAGCAAACAGCGAACGACCAGAGAAAATGGGGTGCACCGCCATGGATCATGGAGGTACGAGCCACCTCCATAACCAAAGCGATGCGTCACTCAGTGACCCCATTCTGCTGCGGGGAGTCCGGCAGGGTGTACGACTGGGTGATGCCCTCCGCACAAGAGAACTGGCCAAGCCGACCGGAGGCGAACTCGCCACCGCGGTCGGATTGGAGACGAAGCACAGGCAAGCCGCGGTGGACACGCGCAGCTACGATCCACGGGATAAGAATGTCAGGCACATCGGCCTTCCGCTCTAGGGGAAACACCGTAGTGTAGCGCGTGTAGTCGTCGATGAGCACTAGAAAGTAGCGCTCTTGACGTGGCCTAGGGACGAGGGATGGGCCCTAAACGTCCAAGTGTAGTGTGTGGAGTGGCGCAGTGGTGGGGGGCAATGAGGAGGAGTGAGAAGCACGGTGCAGCCGGCCCTCGACGCAGGGTGTGCACGGCGGCGCGGGGGAGGGAGGGAGGGCAGGGAGTGACGCAGGGAGACCTAAGACAAGACTGTGATGGGACGTGTGGCGCAGACGCTGAAGTGCGGAGTGACCTAGGCGGCGGTGCCACAGAAGCGACGGGTGGGTGAGTGACCTACACGAGCAAGACGCAGCAACCTGGGAGGGCGCGGCCACCAGGGGGGACGCTCCCACCGGGGTGGACGCGGTGTCTAGGGTGAACAAGCCTGACACCGTGTCCCGGGGGAACGTGGTGAGAGGGGTACCAAGTGGCGGCCTCGGTACAGACTGCGTACTGCTCATGTCTAGGAAACGTAGTGGTGACGTCGAGGTCCTGAAACAGTCGACACCAACTAGGTTCCTAGAGAACGAGGGGATGTGCAGGCCTGTAAGAGAGCCTGAGGGAACCGCCGAACAGGGAAGGGTAGGGGAGCTACGTGCAACTACCGGACCTGAGGAGGGGTCAGCAAGCGCGACAGCGGCAAGTGCGGCAAGCAGCATGACTGCAGTGTAGTTACGAAAGAAGAACGCGGACGCACCAGAGTCTAGCGTGAAAGAGAGCGCAGCAGTAGCGGCCGCAGGCGGAGGAGCGAGAGTGGAGCCAAGGTAGGTGGTCCTACGCCTGACGCAATAGGGGAACCTAGGCTACACATAGTGGACACACCTATACTAGGCAACACAGGGTAATATGGTCTAGTCACACTAGAGTTATCAACATACATGAGATACATAGCAGACCTCATCTGATCCATGTCAAGCTCAAAGATAGGCACATGGCGACGCACCAGGCTGTATTAGTCGGGGGGGTCCGACGTGGGGCCGAAGCGGAGACGGAAGAGGTCGTTGAGGCGGCGGTAGCAAGGGGCGGTGGTGTGACCAGGATAGTCGCAGACAATGCCGCGGCGGGGCCCAGACCTAAGCTGGTACTGGCAGGTGACTACACTAGGGCCGCCACCTGACTCCGAGCTGCGCGGTCCACCACCAAGACCATCACCACCAGCGCCGCCAGGCCACCACGGCGGCAAGGGTCCCCACGGCGGCTGCTGCTGCTGCTGCTGCTACTCCGAGGCATCAGCCCTAGTGCCCTCGTCTGCACTACCATCCCCGCCCCCACCTCCACCACCTCCGCCACCCCCACCATCCCCACCACCCTTCCCTCCGCTACACCCTTCTTTGGGGCGGCGGCCCTTACCCTGATGCGGCTGCGCTGAGGCCGCGGCGGCGGTCGCAGCAGCAGGGGGTGTCTCAACGACAGCGGAAGAAACATCAAAGAAAGTGCACTGGAAGGGAGCACAGCCCAAGAAGATAGGGACCGCTGCAATACCGCTAGGTTGAGCGATAGTGCGCTGGCGGGTCTATCGGGGACAGGGCAATGACAAAGGCGGTAAGGGTGAGGTCACCTGGGTGCTAACTAAGGAAGAGGTCGCGGGCAGTGGCAAGGCGGTCAGGAAGGCACGTGGCAATGAGGTAAAGAGTAGCGCAAAGCGGCGGCGGGAATGCTGTCAGCTGTGACTTAGTGCTAGCAGTGCGGTAGCTAGTCTCAAGTGCGCGAAGATGAGTGGCAAGGTGAGCGACAGTGGGGAAGGAAGCAAGATCACGAAATAGCATGGGGAGGATCAGATGGCCGGCAGAGGCGGAGGAGGGAGTGGATTAGCGCGCAATGACCGCATCTAAGTACTCCTTCACATTTGCTACAGCAGTAAGGCGAGGACGCTCAAACAGGGGGAGGGCGTGACTAATGGCAAGCTGTGCGACTGCGTCGCGCGACTCCTAGACAGCGCGGGCAAGCTCTGCAGCGGCAAAGTCCTCACGCTCAGCAGACGTGGGGCGTCAGGGAGGGCAGCAGGCGCGGCGGGGCATTGGAGCTTACCGTCGACATGGACGGCGAGGGAGTAGCAGTCCTGGCGCTGACCGATCAGCTGGCGGTGGAGGTCGACGAGCCACGCCTCAAAATCAACCGCC